ACACTGGCCTGATGAAGGTTCGGCAGCTATGGACTCGGTCTCTGTGCGCGAGTACCGGCCGGGGAATTTACTTGACGCTGTCCAAATGACAGTAAACCTAAAGACATTTTTATTTTAAATACAGACACCTATTCAATATACGAAGTTTCATTAAATACATTTATATTTCATATTTTTAAATGTTATTATACCTTATCGGATGGATATTTTTGTTTTGTTCAATGTTTAATTAATTTTATATAGTTTTTATTTTTTATTTTTTTAAGTAAGATTCATCCTGTGTTTTGGTCCTTCTGTTCTTTATTATAACTGAACCAGGTCTGTTGCGCTGCGTAATTACGCACGGATCATTTCTTTTTTTCCCCTCTAAAATACTTGAGAAAGAATGTCATTAGTGAATGCAGTATCGATACCCATTGATACGCAGACAGTCAGATCACCACGGGCTGTCCCGGGACAGAGACAAAAAGAGGTGTGACCATCCCAAAACTTTTCTTGAATGGACTACCTGGAGAGGCTGCGGGCGCTGCGCATAAATACTCCTCCCTCTGAGGGTGAGATCAGTCTTGAGGGAGACGCACAGTGACACGATACGGTTTTGGGAACTTTTTGGGTTAGCGCGGATTATGAACGCTTTTGGGCATCAGCCGTCTAACCAGCAGAGCAGTCCCATTCAGCACCACAACGCACAGGAGATCCTGGACATGGCAGTCTACTGCGACAACTACGGTGTTTATCAGCAGAACCTGCACCACCATCACCCGCAGAGGCCTCCGACGCATCCTCCCGGCTACGGCCTCGGGGACTACACGTCTCCATCCACGAACCCGTACCTGTGGCTGAACGGCCCCGGCATCAACTCCTCTCCGTACCTGTCCGGGAACAACGGCACGTCCTACATTCAGTCTGGATACGGCTCCAACCAGAGGCAGTTCCTTCCACCTCCATCCGGCTTTGGTGGAGCAGACCTGGGCTGGCTGTCCATTTCCAGCCAGCAGGAACTTTTCAAGATGGTCCGGCCTCCTTATTCGTACTCCGCACTGATTGCGATGGCCATCCAGAACGCACGGGACAAAAAGTTGACCCTGAGTCAGATCTATCAGTACGTGGCCGACAACTTTCCTTTCTACAAGAAGAGCAAAGCTGGATGGCAGAACTCCATCCGACACAACCTGTCACTGAATGACTGCTTCAAGAAGGTGGCCCGGGACGAGGATGATCCCGGTAAGTCCTTGGGTTCATTCCCCAAAATATTAATTATTTTGAAATTATTCCGTTTCATTGGTTAGAATTATTTCCGAAGTGTATGTTTTGCATCGCTGTTATTATTTAATTTCACCAATAAATACAATATGTTTGTGCGTAAATTTGTGACTAACCCGTTTTGGGGTTTTTTTTTTTCATTAGGAAAAGGAAACTACTGGACACTAGATCCCAACTGTGAGAAGATGTTTGACAACGGGAATTTCAGAAGAAAGAGGAAAAGGAGAGCTGACATCAGCGGACCTGACAGCAACTCTCTCCCCGTCAAGTCGGAGGACGGCGCACACAAACTCGCCGACACCGCCAGCCTGCTCAGCTCCTCCCCGCCCAGCCTGCACGGCTCACCGGCCTCGGAGCCTAAGTCATCGCCGCCCCCCTCCGCGGAGCACAGCCCGTGTTTCAGCAGCTTCGTATCCAGCGTAAACTCACTGCTGGCCGGCACGGAGGGCTCGCGGGTCGGGGAGCGGGACTATGGCACCACTCAGCTGGGCGCACTGCCCCAGAGCAGGGAGAGCATGTCTGGACTGGGCTCTTACTCTCCAACTCTGATCTCCCCTCTGAACTCTGACAACAACAGAATCAACTACTACACATCAGTACAGAGCCTCTCCAACCACTTCAGTGTTAATAACCTCATATACAGCCGGGAAGGAACAGAGGTGTAGTCACTGCAAAACATATCTGACACCAAGTGTCTGGACTCAGTTTGTCTGCAGGAAGAAATGTGGATTTTTATTTTTTCCATCCAATATTGTTGTTGATGTGCCTTAAACTACAGTCTATCCAAACCTGCAGAGCCTTAAATCTCAATATTCAACAAGTGTCACTGTCCTGATGTTCTTTATAATGTAGTTGACCTGACATTGAAGCCTTTTTATTCTCTTGATATGTCTATACTGTAATGGCGTAGCTGGGCCGACCTGTTGTCTGAAGCAAAGAAGGAGACACATATGTACAGAAATTATTTTTCATAAGAAGAACAGTTGAAATGTATTTTTAGATTGAAACTTCTGTGACTATCCTATTTAAACTCATGTTGACGTTTGAATAAAGGTCTATTATTTTTAACTCCATCCTCCTGTGTTTTCAATACTTTATTCGTGTGCCAAGTGTACTCTATGAAAGTCTCTCATTAACCTGATATCACTTAATGGAAATGGTAAAATGAAATGAAATAGATCTACCCCTATCACTTTTCTACAACTAGATTGGAGTAATGTAGATTTATTTAAAATAAAAATTTTAGTTAAAATAAATATCTTAAAATATTCACCATATCGGGTCAAACCTTAATAAACATGTTTTATCTTCTAGGAGCTGTCGATGTTTCAGAGGCAGTAATCGGAAGGTATGTAGATTCAAAGTAATAAAATATGTACGACGGAGACATTTTCTGCTTGTCACTTCCATTAGATTCATTTCAATAAGTAGTCGGACCTTTAACTTATTTCCACAATGTTGATGTCAACCTGTTATCTGGACATTCATTTCTGACAGTGAACAGATCCGTGAACAAAAACTAAGACGAAGACCAGAATTTATTAAACACTTACAAATTAGCTGTGTTGAAATACTGTGTTCTTGTTTTTCAAAAAGTTCCCTTTCTATATATATATATATATATATATATATATATTAAGTCAACTTAATACATTTGGTAAAACATATAGTTATAATTAACAATGTTACATTAGATTTCACATTACACTTAACCAAAATGAATTTTGTTCTGCATACAGCTAAACATCACCTCCGCTTTAAAATTTGTAATCATATGTTTTTAAATTATGAAGTAGTGAAAGTAGTAACCAGTAGCAACTATGTATATATATACATATATACATACATATTTATAAAGTTTCAGCATATGCATATATGTCATTATACATATCTGTTACACTGGTCAATCTAAGCAACAGTAAAATGATGGCTATATTAATTTTCTTAGTTTGCGTTTTTTTTTTAATAATGCACCAGTGACATTTTTATATGAAGTCACCAGTTCTCTACCAATCAAATGAAAGCTCAGGTTCTGCATACAGCTAAACATCACCTCCACATCCGCTCGGTTCTATTTTCCAAGTTTTGCCTTTCAATTCCCAGAAATGCAACACTCCGGTGCCCTGTGCCCTTAGGGCACATTTACCTGCTGCACATGAATATCAGTCAGGCTACCATGTCTCTGTGCTGCCCCTGCCTCCGGGGGCTGAAGGCTCGCACCATGCAGATTACCTCAGTGTAAGGGTGGCCTCAGTCCCAGTACATGCCTAGTGGGCTAAACCCATAATAATGGGTTTCAGCCTCAAATGTCTGTCCCTCAACAGGAACAGTTGTTTTATTTTTGTAACACTACAAAATCACATGACCTCCACTGGCAGGTCATGTGATGCCAACTGCAGGTGTGATTGTTGTCTTGATCTGAACTGAGTTTCATTGACAATGACCACAAAAACACCTGCATAAGAAGAGCATAAAAAACACAAATGTGGGACCGTGGTTCTATCGGCATGTAGGCATGTAGTTAGGTGAAGCACAGACAGCACAACTGCAACATCATCATTCAAAGACGTCGTCTCCAGTCTGGGACCTGGAGGCTTCTCCACTTTAGACAGTGAGTGACGTGATGATGTATCACTGCTGTGTGGAGCTGCACTCAGCAAAGTGAGGAACTTAACTCCCATTAGCGGCTGAGTGAGATCTTAACTGATAAATAAGGAACGACAAAACTTCCTCTCTCTCACCCCGACCAACACACACACACACATACACACCTTGTTTTCTTAACCTGCCTCTAAGATCGTGCATTTTGCTGCCGTGTCTTATTTGTGATGACTTATTTCTGATGATGCTGAGGTGTTTAGTCACCTAAAGGATGCCTCGTATAGCAATTTGTTGGTTTGTAAAGCATTTAGGATTTCAAACAGTAAGATGTGTCCGGGGCCTAAAGATTCTCCACAGGCCATATAACACTGCCTTACAGCCAAATCTGAGGGGTTATATGAAAGGGGAGACTGCGTGTCTGACCCCGGTGGGGAACATGATAGCTTGGCCACAGGGGGCCTGATATCAGTCTTGGTCTAGCCTGAAATTTCACATCTGTGTGTAGCAGTCAGTGGGCATTATAGGGATCATTTCTTATATTACAAGTCCATCTCTTGAGGAAGTTAAATATTTAAGAGGACAATACGATGACAGCTCCTGGGGAAGCCACTGTGCAGCTGTAAGGCCTGCAAGTGATAGCTGAGGCAAATGTCTATCAGTTAGCATGACCTGATTTGGTTTCATCATCCCCCACCGGGGGCCCATAAAAAGATGGCCATATTTGGGCTGAATATAGTGTGGGATCCTTGATCAGAATCAGGAAACGTGGATTATTTTAAAGCGCGTGAGCCGTTTGTAAGGTGTGAAATGTGCTGAAACTTCTTTTTTTTTAAATTAAAATCTTATTTTAGTATACCTTTGTAGAATTTGTATTTATCATTTATTTATTTGCCTCTATGTTATTTGTTCTAATAGAATTATAAGCTGCACAATCCCTCCAATTATCCAAAATAAAAAAACAATTTTGTTTGTGTAACAGGGCGAGAAATCACTGGTCGGCACAGGAAGAGAAGTGACTTCAGAGCCGGTAAAGCCTGCGAACAGAGGAACCTGTGGAAAGAATCAGAGAGATACAAGGATTAACGGACTAGAACGAGTGCCACTAAATCCACAGGCAGGGCCTGTCTTCACGTCGCTCCGTCTGGAAAACCTATCCTCACAACAATGTAACTTATCCCCCCCGCTCACTGTGTCGCTGGAATATATTTTGACAAAGTCTTTGTTCTCACATTAGAGAACTGTAGGCAGATCATCTGTTATCCGTGACCTTTGTCATAACAAACCATGGCAGCGGTTTTACACACTGCTGAGAAACCAGAACAGTTCACATCAGAAACACTCACTTTTCTAACAAGTTACGGCTCTTCTGTCTTTAATCTGAGTTTCTGAGACAGAAACTATTCTAAAACCTGTACATAAGTTGGGAAAACTTTATTTATTTAGTTTTTTATTTAAAAAAAAAAGATATACTGTAAGTACAGTGGGCAGGCTTGCTGAGAATGGCTTCAATAAATCTGCAGCCATTCATCGCCTACATGAAATTCCAAACCGTGACCTTATGAGAACAATATTCAGGGTTCATGGAACATCAATTTCTTAGTGCAGTGCAGCAGAACAAATATCTGAGTAACGGCCAATATGTAATCATTTTAGCTCGGTTCAGGGACCACTTTGCACATGATTATGGTTCATTTGACCTGACTGCAACTGCTGGATCTCACCGCTAAGGCTGCAGGGAATATACAGGAGATGAAGAGATAATTCAACATTACACCACTGACACAACACAACAAAAATAGTACTGCAGTTTATGTGCTGGAGAACGTGTTTTCTACTCCGGCTGCTGCCTCTTTGCACTGATACCACCCGGCGAGTAACACCTGTGTGCTGTCATTACCTGCTCTTCACAGGACAGGAAGTGGTGACAGATGACAGAGGAAGTAGCTGCCCAGGGGGAATCCATTTTACCCACTACGGCCCGGACTTCTGGTGGTGAGACGGAAGTGAAGAGATCATTCAGTGGTGAGTTATCCTGAAAATAACCACGTCTGCTCCACTTGTCAGTCACTGCAACTAGTTCTAAGGGGAGCTGTCTCCCAATGTGAGGGTTACGTCACTTGAGGATCCTGTTGTGAAAAGATAGAGTCCACCTGGAGAACATTTGTACTCTAATGCCTGTCTGAGAGGACCTCTTTAGAAGCTTTACACAGAAAAGTGTGCAACTCTGTTATGGTTGACCAACATGAACTTCCTCCCTCCTCCACTGAGGCTCTATTAGTACAGTTCTAATGTACCGGTTGATGAGATGGTTGAACTGGTACAGCATTTTTGTTTTATTAAAAGCTTGACACCACTGGTCGATGTGAAGCTGCAGAGTTGGTTTACTATAATGCAGAGCCACTTCTCTGTTTAAGAGTTGTACACTTTCAACAATGCTGTAAAAAAATGATATTATGATACAGTATATCAGTATATGGAGATGTATTTTTAATAAAAAACAATCATTAATATAGGGTCATTTAAAGTTTAATTAAAAAAAATTAAAATTGTGAATAACTAAAATTCTAAAATAGCTATATTTACAGGATAGAAATATTTTAGTTTGTGACAATATTAATTTAAAAAAATATCAATTTAAAAAAGATCTACCTCTTGTTTTTACCATTTTTAATGACTTTTAGGCAACCTTAAATTGTAATACTATAAATAAATGGGTCAGAAAAAGTGTCAATCCCAGGTAATATACTGTAAATGGTAAACTTCTAGTAATGCGATTTGATTCCTTTTAAGAATATTTTATCCAAATCTATGTTTTATTGTATCTTAAGAATATTATTTTTATCCAAATCTATGTTTTATTGTATTAAGGATAACTCCAGGTTCTTCACTGAGCTCTGAGTTGCCACATTGATTCAGCATCATTCCTACATGACGGTGCATCTGCCTAAAGGAATGTGTGTGTGACAGCCCCCACACACCACCTAAACAACACTCACCCAGCCACTAATGAGACCCCCTGCCTCCTGCTTCTATTATGTGAGATGCATACCAATATAGAGACAAGAGAGGGCAGACAGACAGAGACGTCAGGAGCCCTCACTGGGCCTAAACCATCAAACGCACCCCTCACAGTGAGCCACATAATGGGTCCGAACCACATTTAACCAAGTTTTCTTCACGTAAGCTGCAGATGATCTGTGGCTGAAGGCTCTAAATATATCCCTTTAAAAGAGTCAGGCATGCCCTCCTCCAAATGCTGCTTTTGTGTTTGTCACTAATCCCAGCCTGCACTTCAAGGCCTCGCCTCACTTCTGAGGTAGCTGCTATCAGCTTAAAAGGGGAGGGGGTTAAAAGGTAACACTTTTAAACTGCTTGAATCGAGGAGATGTAATACAATGATAAGCTGATCAGCCCCTAAGCATGTAATTATATCACAATCAACTTCTGCTCCGGGCTTCAGCATTTCATTCACCGCCTATGAAACAATTGTCGTGCATAAGTTTCTCACTTTATAAATATGGATTTATATTTTCAAATCCTGAATGCATGCAGCCCAATACATTTTAGGGGGGTGGGGATCTGTTTGTGTCCAACAAGTGTTCAAACAAATCAGCTCGCAGCATATGCTATGTGTTGTTATCAACCCCAAACAGTGTGTGTGTCAACTATAAACACAAGGAATGCAGCAGTTCAGGGGAAACGGACTTGGCTGCACAATCCTGAAGCAATCGCTCATTTGTTCCCTGTGCCGTTGTAACTCCTGTTGGGTTTCTAGAGAAAAACAACTTCTGCCTC